TGAGCTCACATGTTTGAAGCTCCCTGCTCAAAAAAACACACACACACACACACACACACACACACACACACACACACACACACACACACACACACACACACCATCATACCTCAGCATCGCCCCACACAGACTCCTGTGGGTGTGTCAGTGTGCTGTAGTCTGATTGGACAACATCACATAAAGAGAAACCTTCAATTGGCTGGTGTGTGTGTGTGTGTGTGTGTGTGTGTGTGTGTGTGTGTGTGTGTGTTGGCACTTACTGTATTTTCTCTGAATCCCTCAGCTCTTCCCAGCAGACGCATGCGTGCTGCTCTTGGGCAGGAGACAGGTATCTGAGGTGGAGGGGGGTTTGAAAGTCTTTTCATTCCGACGGTGTTCTTCTCACAGAGTTTTAGAGCCGTGATTGTCCTTCAGCTCTTGTTTTGTCAAAGAAATAAAAACTGCAGCTCTCTCCACTCTCTCCTTCCAGTTTGACCTCTCATCTGTCTTCAGTTCCGTTGTTCCACCAGGGGTCGAGTTAGATTCGCAAAGATTTAGTTTGTAAATTATTCTCAACTCCAGATTTAAGTTTCAAATTAAACTATTAAAGGAGACATATCATGCAAAGTTAACGTTTTTAGCTGCTAAATGTATTTTGTTGTGTACTTGGAGACTCTAGGAGTGCAGGGAAGTTTAGTCTGTCATGGTTCTGCAAAGATATCTTTATATTCTGTTTGGGTCATATTTTTCAACCCGTTCAGTGATGTTGTTTGACGTTTTCTAAATTATTTGTGATGAAACTTCCAAATAAGGTCTGAACTTACCAACTAGAATTTGGTGGTCTTTGTTTTCCTCTGGTTCTGGGTCGGACTCTGGCTTCAACATGTAAGAATGGATGGACAAGTCTTCTGTTTGTTGACATCTTTCATTTAATTTGTAAATAAAACATTTCTGCGCTGCTATATAGCTGTTGTAATAGAAAATACTTTTTGATCCAGGTCAGTAGGTTATGAGATATCCTACTGAACCACGACACCAGCTTTGCTGTGACACGTCTGTTATTGTTTTCAACAGATAGACATGTATTGGCCAGGACAAGATCTGCTATAAACATCTGTTCATTAAACCATTGTTTTATCTTGACCAGTACAGGGACTGAAGTGAAGTCATTGTAGCACACATCTCAACAGAAAGCCTGATGGCTCTGTGTTGATTTTTGTGTTCTTGTTTATTGCAATAAACAAACTCAGACAACCTACAGAGCGACTTTAAACTTTAAATCACAGATTTAAACTTTTTGTTAAATAAATATTTCTACAACTGTCATAAACCCATCTATCAAACTGGAATGAAGCAGTCTGGAAGKTGGAGGGAGCAAGCTGTGAAGCGCTTCGTTTGGATTTAAAGAAACAGCTTCAAAATGAGTTGATCTGAGACACAATAATATATTTTTAAATCAGGTTAATGGTTTAGCATTAGCTCAGCTAAGATTCTTGTTTAGCAGATTAGTGGTTAGTGAACCTAACTTTTTAGTTTTCCACTTTGTCAAGTTCAAATGAGCTTTGATCTGGATGGTGCTCACACATGGCTTCTTCTTTGCATGATAGAGCTTTAACCAGCATTTGTGAATAGAACAACAAACTGTGTTTACAGATAATGATTTTATGAGATCAGAATTAAAGATCTAAACTAGTGAAATTTGGATGTTAAGATGATGATGTAATCTGATCTTTTCCTCTCGGCCTTCACAGCGTCTTTTACTCTTCTGCCTCTGGTGGTTTGAATGTAAGAAGCTGAACAAGCCATACACATATTAGATTAGGTTTTGTGTGTGTGTGTGTGTGTGTGTGTGTGTGTGTGTGTGTG